GTGCACTGAAATGTAAAATGTTTTATTTTTCTTATTATTTATTCTTGGTGATATGTTCAGCATTTTAGAATTTTAAATTTTGGTGGTACTGGAGATTTAATTCTCAACAGTGGCAGAGTGTGGACTGAAACCCAGGCTTCCTGATACCTAGTTTAGTTATCTTCCCACTAGTCTATCTTGGGCTTCCTAATTTAGCAACCTTGAAAGATTTAATTGCAATTGCTGATTGTGATCTCCTTCACACTTTATGTAAGATTTATTTATTTAGCTGTGGATACATGTAAAATTTTCCTTTATTTAGTTGTGAGTTTCCTCACAAACAGCTTTTGGCCTGTTTTAACTTTCTTTAGATGATCACTTATGATTTAAAAAATCATTTATGACATTGACTTAAAAGTAGGCTATTCTCATAGATTTTTTACCCAAATGCAAAGAAAGAATCTGACTAAGGTTTTGAGCCACTGGTTCATTGACACTGACAATGAGGATATGTTTTCACTCTCAAACAGACAGACAGCATTAGATGTAGCTTCCTAGATATGTTTTGCTCTTACTCATACATGAATCTTCTCATTGTATGCTTGGGACTTTTTGTCATAAGATATTTTGCTGTGTGAGCTTATGAATTAAGATAGGCCAAAAATGTAACTGGATAAAGGAAAACGTTTATATTAGCAAGGACTGACTGATAGTAAAATTATGGAGTGGATGGGTGGTAGGAAATAAACCTAGTATGTTAGTGCCTTGGAATGAAAAGGGAAATAATAGATGGATTTGAAGTTTTTGTCTGTGTTGAATATCCAGCCTTTTCATTCTTTCCTTAGTATTCGTTGAACACCTAGTAAAGACTAGGCACTTGTTTAGAAATCAAATATGTTCACAATAAGTACTATAAGGTCCTATTTCTGTCCTTTAGGAGCTTACAGGAGAAGGCAGTTACAGACAAGATACAACATAGGATAATGAATATTTGTATTTTGAAATGTACCACATGACTGAGCTTGCTGAAAAAAGTGTAATCTTGGTTGAATTTATTTACTGATTTAAATTTATTAATATTCTCTTGATCAACTTTAAAAATAAATTATGAGCCGGGCTCGGTGGCTCAGCCTTTAATCCTGCGCCTTTGGGAGGCTGAGGTGAGTGGATTGCCTGAGCCCGCGGGTTGGAGACCCGCCTGGGCAGTGAGACCTCATCTCTACAATAAATAAAAAAAATCAGCCGGGTGTGGTAGCGCATGCCTGTAATTCCAGCTACTTGGAAGGCTGAGGCGGAAGGATCGCCGGAGCCCAGCAGGTCGAGGAGCGGCCACTGCACTGCAGTCTGGGCGACAGAGTGAGACTCCAACTCAAAAAAAAAAAAAAAAAAAATTATGAAATATATGTTAAATATTTTGAAATATAAAAATTTAAATATATTTTATATTTTAATAATTTTTTAAAAATATATTTTAAATATACATATTTTAAATATATAAGCTATGTTTTAACATATATATAGATTATATGTATTTATTTCTGTTTTTATGATAGCAGATCTATTCTTGGTAAACTGAGCACTTCCCACTTGACTACATTAATATTAGCGCTCAAAGAAAAGGCATTGCTGCTGTCACCTTGAAGTTAGTTCTTGGTGTTAGTAATTCTTTTTGTTTGTTTTGAGTTGGAGTCTCACTCTGTCACCCAGGCTGGAGTGCAGTGGCATGCTCATGGTCACTGCAGCCTCGACCTGGGCTCAGGTGATCCTTTTGCCTCAGCCTTCTAAGTAGCTGGAACTACAGGCATGCGCCATCATGCCCGGCTAATTTTTCTTGATTTATTCTAGAGATAATGTCTTGCCAAGTTGCCCAGGCTGGTTTCTAACCCATGGGCTCAGGCAATCCTGTCACCTCGGCCTCCCAAAATTGCTGTGATTATAGGTGTGAACCACTGTGCCTGACCAGTGCTAGTATTTCTTAAGAGCAGAAACTTGGGTTTGACTCTTACCTTACCACTTATTAGCTGTGAAACTTACTTGTACCACAGTTTCCTCATCTGTAAAATGGGAATGAAAATATCTACCTCGTAGCTGTTGTGAGTATTGAACGACTTCATATATGTAAAAACACTTAGATTAATGTCTAGCACACATTAAAAGCCTAATCAGTGTTAACAGCCATCATCATCATTATTGTTACTATTTGGCAGAATGAGAGTAAGTTGGGTAAGATTTTGCTATGTGAGTTTACAGATTGGGACAGGTTTCAAGAATGGATTTTTTTTTCCACGTCTTGAAAATTGCTTTAAATTAAAGGTAGAAAGATAACAGCGGGAAATAAAACCTTTGTTGATCATCAGCTATGTGCGAGGCAGTCCTCTAGTATTTTGCCTGCATTCTCATTTAATCTTATATCAGTGCTATGAAGTAAATTAGAAAACAGGCTCAGATAAGTTAAGTAAGGTCTTGTACTAATAAGTGAACATCATGATGATGCAGGGTTTCTGTTACTCCATATCTTGTATTCTTGTCTTGCATGACACGAGACAACCTCAGAGTTCAGTGTGTTTCACTAATAGGTAAACTTGGAATATGTTTTCCTGACATTGCAGGCTTCATTTCCTATAGAGGTGGATGACCATTAAGGGGATGTTGTCCACATTTTTAGTTTGTTCCTACTGTAGGGGTTTGTTTTATATATCTGTAATTCCACTTCCCTCCCTTTCAGAAGTGCAGTAATTTAAATGATATAAGTAGGACCTAGATGGAAAATGTTTGATGTATGGAGTCCCTTTTTTTTTTTTTGAGTTGGAGCCACACTGTCACCCAAGTTGGAGTGTAGTGGCATGCTCATGGCTACTACAGCCTTGACCTGTTGGGTTCAGGTAATCCTTCTGCCTCAGCCTTCCAAGTAGCTGGAAATGGCCAGCTAATTTTTTAATTTATTGTAGAGTTGAGGTCTTGCCATGTTGCCCATACTGGTCTCAAACCCGTGGGCTCAGGCACTCCTCTCGCCTCCACCTCCCAAAGTGCTGGAATTACAGGTGTGAGCCACCATGCCCGACCTTTTTTTTTTTAATCGGAGTCTTACTCTACTGCCCAGGCTAAAGTGCAGTGATGTGGTCATGGCTCACTGCAGCCTCGACCTCTCAGGCTCAGGCAATCTTTCCCCTTCAGTCGCCTGTGTATCTGGCACTACAGGCACATGTTGCTATGCCTGACTAGTTTTTTATTTTTTTGTAGAGATGAGGTCCTGCTACGTTTCCTAGGCTGGTCTTGAACTCCTGGCAATCTTCCCCCCTTTGCCTCCCAAAGTGCTGGAATTATTATAGACATGAGCCACCATGCCCCCTTTGCCTGATGTGTGGAGTCTTATTAATAGTTTCCAGAGTTGCGCGGAGAGCTTATAATTCTTTAGTTTTCACAATCACTGTCATAATTATTGAAATCATTACTCTTGACATCTATAACTTTCCTAGGACTTTAAGCCTAAACTCCATGTGGTTACATATCCTAGGTGCTACTTAGTATAAAACTGATTTTTATAGTAAACTTTTGGGAGACACCCATAATTAATTAAAATAACTTGGGTTTAAATGTAATTAAGGTAAGTTTAAATTTTGTGTTGTTCTTATATTGAAAATAGGGTCAATTTGGATAGGAAAGAGGGATATTTTACGGATGTGAAACTCCATCCATACAGTGTCAGCTTAGCTTTTCATGGATAAGGTTGCCTCAGACCCCCCAACCTAGAAACTGGAAATTGTAAGCTCTCCCTAAAAATATTTGTGTATTTGCTGGGTTTCATTATCTTGCAGCTGTTTCTGCCTCCTGGGCCCTACTTTCTTGCCTTGTACCACTGATTTGCACCATAGTGCACCCAGATGTGAAACTTGGCGCCATCTCTGATTTTCAGAAAGGTCCTATTCATGCAAGGCATTTGCAGATTTTGTATACCTAACTGAAGAAAAGGAGCAAAATAGAGGTGGGGTGAGCCAGCTTCTCCAGTAAGGCATCCCCATTCTTAGAATGTTTTCAGAACTCCCTTGACCCCAGAGCTTCACCCCTATCTAATCCCAGCTTTGCTCCATTATGCTAACTCTTCTTTTCTTCTCTTCCTTTCCCTCTCCTCATCATTCTTCTCTTCATTCCTTTCAGCGATAAAACAACAAATTCTTCCCCTTGTCTAATGCAGAGCAGTTTCCCTTTCTTGACAACCATTCTGGGAATTTGACAGCCATTCTACAGGGAACCACCCACTCCAAGGGGACTGGACATGAGAGATGGGGGCCCATATTATGGGAACATATTTTCACAAAGAAAGTTTCTTCCAGGAGGAATTCTTGTGTTAGCTGTTAGAATGATAGAATAGAGAAATTTTCATCCTGTTACATGGCTACTGAGCATACCAACTCAAGCTTTATTGCTTTCTGCTTCCTGATAGTGTCAGAAACCTAAAAAATGATTATACATGTAACTTGTCCAGATCATAAACTCTAGATATCATTGACTAGTACGTTTTTGAGTATAGAATATATACTGCTTTTAAAGAAGCATGTCACTTACATGAAGGTCATGAACTTACTTAACACAAAAGAGAGATCTCATGCTGTCTTTCATTATTATATATATATTTCACTTATGTAAATATAATTTTAGCCTTTGATACCTGACTTTGGATATTTTTGTTACCATGAAATTTTTTTCTGACATTTTCAGGTTATATGCAACAATAGTGTATAATCTTTAAAACCTAAAACAAAGGCAGAAGTGCATTTTTTCAGGAAGTAAACTTTTAATACTTTCATTTATGGATCAACTTCAGTTGATTATGGATTAATCTTCAGTTGCTCTTAACTTAAAAGAAATCAATTTTTTTCAACTTCTATCAGTTTTAAGTATTTGTAAGGAGCTTACTGCATTGTAACAGACTGATCCTTTTTTGAATTTGTAAATAAAATTTATTCAATTGTTTTTTCTTGCCATGTATTAGCCAACCCTTACAGATTGTTTCTCCCTCATAGGTGATAGAGAAAGGGAAACCTGACCAATGACTGAGGAGTAATATGGAAGAAGATGGAAAATACTTGTTTAATGGGTAAGAAATAAACACTGTAATAAACCATTATTAATGAAAGCTATGCATGATAGTATTATGTATGACCACTCTGTAATGGGTGGCTGAGGCTGGCATACTATTAGGGTAAGTGATTAATCAATATCTTTGCCTTATCTCTATTTTGAACTTTCATTACCTACTTTTATAACCTTGTGAATTTTTCAGCACCATCAATTAACTTAAGCCACATTTGAAGATAAAATAGGACCTAGAGAGCAGTAGCCATACTAAAACAAGTCTAGGGTAGGGCTTGAAATGTATTGATAGTTGAACAGAGACCATATCTGTCATGATCTGTCAAAAGTAATTATCCACTCTTTTTTCCCCCCAACTACTGTCAACTGCTGTGATGTTAGTGTTACCAGGGGGATGCTTTTCCCCATGAGCAAGTACATATGTGTGTCAGTTGATAATCAAATAGAATTCCATAGAGAGCGCAATAAAAGGTTTGACTGAATTTATGAGATGTAAAAAAGTTTGATTACATAAGTACATACATTCTTACAGTCAGTAATTCAAGCATTATAGATAACCAAAATCCTCTACCAGAATCTCAGCCCCCTTCCAGAATATATAGTGTATAGTATATATTTGTGCAGTCTTCTTTGTCTTTGAGTAAAAACATGGAGTTGGAGTCAAACTGGTTTTAACCAGTCACTATTAACTTGACATTTGGGTAAGCTAATCTCCCTGTGCTTCCATTCCTTGGCTATAAGATGAGAACAATAAAATGCTATCTCATAGTGATGATGAGGATTAATTAGTTAATCTGTATAAGAACTTGAAGTGATGCCTGGGGCATAGTGAGTATTCAGTAAATAATTGGCTATAATTGTCATATGTATCCAAGGTAGCATTTTTATGTACCAACCATCCATATATGAATTTTTCTTTGATGTACTACAATAGTTAAAGCATCTTAGATTAGGTTAACCCTAGTGGCAATGGCTTTTTAATTTTTTTTTCATGAAAATTTTCTTTTTGGCTTCATTTCTCTCTGAGTGCTGCTAGACTATGTGTAAGACTATATACACCTTTACTCCTTACTGCCTATCTTAAGTGTATATGATACCTACAAGTATGTATGAATAAACACCCATCTTTAGGCTATCATAGTTTCACCTTGCCTGCAAAAGTGTCTTGTCAAAGCATAATGCACAATTCTCTTGTTTTCTAGATAGCTATGTCAGATATTCTGTTAAGATTCTGTTAGTCTATTTTGAAGGACAAGTGTTCTTGAATTTCATTTTTATCTTGTTACACAGAATCATAGTCATTCTTTGCTTAAGAGATGGTGGGGGGAGGGTAGTCTTTCTCTCTTTCCCAGGCTGGCCTTGAACTCCTGGGCTTCAGCTATCTTCCTGCCTCAGCCTCTCGAGTAGGTGGGACTACAGGCATGAGCACCGCACTTGGCTAGAAACCATAGTAGTTTTGAAAATGTCTTTGATACCTTTTTCATGGCTTATCACTTTTAAGCAATGCAGACAATTACCTACTTTAAGAAGGAAGGACATACTTACCTGGCAGGGGAGATACCATGATCACAAAGGTGGTTTTCCCAGGGCAAGGCTTATCCATTGCACTCTGGATGTGCTGACCCCTGCGATTTCCCCAGATGTGAGAAACTCGACTGCATAATTTGTGGTAGTGGAGGACTGCAAAAAAAGAAGAAGGAAGGACACTTAGAGACAATAATCTCTGTTTTGTATTTCCCTCTTGAATTATTCTGGATTAGATTAGATTTTATTATTTTGGAGTATTCTACCTGCTGTGACTATACCGAGGCAATTTTAGAAGAATAAAACATAAAAACAGAAGTTAACATTTACTAAGTATTCATTGTGTGTCAGGCAATGTTTTAAGTGCTTTCCTCATTTATTCATTATCTCATTTAATCCTGTTATCTTCACCTTAATGCTGAGAAAAGTGAGGTACAGATTAAGTAATTTACCCAAAGTCAGATTGCAAGTGGCAGTTTCAGGGTTTAAACCTTAGCTTACACTATTGACCGAGGGAGTACTGTTAACGAGATCTCCTAGTTAATACACTTAATAAAGTGGGTGTAAATTTAAATAAGTCAATTATCTCCTGAAAAAGTCACCATACCTAATTTGTATTTACTTGCCTGTGGGACGAAAAATTTGAAATCAGGTTATCTTCTTAAGTATGGAGAAAATGATGATGTGAGATGATTAGTCATAAATAATTATTTTCTTGACAGTGCTTGTATTGCTTCCTTACAGCTACAAATTGTTTGTAGTAGATAAAAAAATCATCTGAACTAGCTAAAGAACAACACGTTTAGAAGGGACTAGAGTTGATTTGTAGATTACCATTTAACTGCTATTCATAGAAAGATGCAGACAGAAAGATTGAACTGTGCAGCAGTTTGGAACTGATTGATAATTGGAAATTGCTCTTTTGTCCTGTTAAATAATATTTGAATGACAGTCAGCAGAAAGTTGTGCAAGAGAAGAAAAACCAGGAGAAAGGTAACTTACAGGTCTTATAATTAGAACGTCACTTGTAAGTGACAGCCTAAAAAGTAAATTACATTAGCAGTCAACATTTATATAGAAACTGGAAGGAATTATAGTACATGATTTTTGTCCTGGGGTCTGTCTTGTCAGAGAGAAGCATTAGCTTTTCTTTTCTTCAAATAGCAATTCATTTCCTGTTGAAATATGGTGAAATACAAAGAGTAAGTGACGTTTAAAGTAACAAGTACGCTGATAAAAGGTCCTGGCCTTCCTGTAAGTGTGGTTGCCTGTAGTCAGTGATGTTTTTCTCTCTTTTCTCTCCATCTGTTTTTACCCCCTTCCCTTGCTTGAGAATTTCTTCTGAATGTTAATCAAAGTTACAGCTCTTAGTGTACATATTTTTAAAAACAATGTCTTAAAGGGTGTCCTAGGGTCCTCCAAGATCCTTTCAAGGGCTGATGAAGTAGAAAACTATTTTCATAATAATATTACAACGTTATTTTCTTTTTCTTTTTCTTTTTTTTTTTTTGAGTTGGAGACTCACTCTGTCACCCAGACTGAAGTGCAGTGGCCGCTCCTGGCCACCGCAGCCTCTACCTGCTGGGCTCTGGCAATCCTTCCGCCATAGCCTTCCAAGTAGCTGGAACTACAGGTGCGTGCGCTACCACGCCCGGCTAAGTTTTGATACATAATGTGCAATTGAGTGAATGCAGAAGCAGATAGAATATAGCTGTTTGCCTTCCAGACATTGAAAAGATTTGCAAAAGCTTAAAATAAGGCCACTCTTCTCACTAGATTGCTATGATAAGCAATGTGGTGTGTTTCTATCAGAACATTGCAGTGACCCCAGTGTAGGCTAGAAAGTCATGGTGCTCTCTCCCACTGATATGTCGCAAATTATCAGAATATTCTTTTTGGAATCTCACTCTGTCACCCAGGCCGGGAGCGGCCACTGCAGCTTGACCTGCTGGGCTCCAGCGATCCTTCCGCTTCAGCCTTCCAAGTAGCTGGAACTACAAGTGCGCTCGCTACCATGCCTGGCTAAGTTTTGATTTATTGTAGAGATGAGGTCTCGCCAAGTTGCCCAGGCGGGTCTCGAACCCGTGGGCTCAGGCAATCCACTCACCTCGGCCTCCCAAAGTGCTGGGATTACAGACTGAGCCACTGAGCCCGGCCCAGAATACTCTTCTTATAGGTTGCTCCCAACTTTGGAAAAGACCTTTTAAGACATTTTACAGTGTGTTGACGAAAATATGCCAAACTCTGTAGCATATATTAGATGGCTTATTCTTGGGCCAAACTTGAGGACTTAACCTGGGTACACCCATCCTCATTCTGAGAACTTGTGGCCATATGACATCTTGGTTACGTATAGTTTTAGGGTGGCAAATGTTACAAAACCGTAAATCAGTGCATGTGAGATTCTTATTGGTTTGGCCAGGGGAGGAGGGACATTTCCAAGGTGGGCTTGCAGGTCATAGGTGGGTTTAAAGATTTTTTGACTGGTAATGTGTAGTCCTTATCAGGAGGTAGGATGTTTTGCTAAGACAAAAGGGTGGAAAGGTTGTAGGTTTGTTGATATGTAGATGAAGTTAAGATGTTTTGCCAGTTCTTATAAGGCATGACTCCCCAAGCCTCTTAGTTAGGAATCTGGATAAAAGAAAAAGGTCAGATTTTTGTTCTCAGGTATTAACTGAATACCTGCAGTGCGAGTAAAAGCAAAACGTCTCTGCTGTCATGGAGCATGCATGCTAGCTTCCATTCTGGCCTTTGAGTCCTTTGTCCTAGGGAAATCTCAAAGTTGATAACCCCTGTGGATCTTCAATAGTGACTGATGTGTCTCAGTGACTTAGTGCTGAGGACAGCATGGCTTAACATCTTGTGATTTTTTTTTTTAAGAGACAGTATCTTCTATGTTGACCAGTCATGTCTTGAATTCCTGGCCTCATGCGATCCTCCCATCTTTGTCTCCCAGTGTGAAATAACCAGGCATGAGCCACCATGCCTGGCCTGTGAATGCTGATTATTAAAAAAAGGCTCCAAATGTTTTAGTTTTCAAACCTTATATGGAACCCTAATATAGCAATAAAGATAGGCTATTCCAGTCATTCTTGTTGTGGTTGATGTATCTTGTTTTGCTTTCGGAAATAGTGCAGTTTTGTCAAGAAATTTAGCTTTAAAGAAAATGAAGTATCAATGTATATTCAATTTATTCTAATTGTTTTTTATTATTTGAATAAAATACATGCATGAGATTTTCTTTGAATTGCTCCCAAGACCCCTTAGTTTGTTTAATAAACTTTTATACAAAAAGAGATTACTTGGCTCATTAGATTGAGTCCCTTAATACTAACTTGAAGGTTAACTAATACAGCTATCAGACTCCTTGCTCACTGGCTAGGTATCTGCCTTATCACTTACTACTTTTTAAACTGTTTTTAAGTGCGGACAATTGGGAATGACATTAGAATATTAATGGAAAAAGAAACTGACATTCAA